TAAACAGAATATTTCATATATTACTGTATATCTTTAAGAGATATCAATCAGATAAAAAGAAGACTATTTAATACAAAAATATATCTAAATGTCCGTTAATATTTAATCAAAACAATTTTTCACTAATTATAATGTAAAGATTTTCATTGGAGAATAAAGTTTACCTGACGAAGTATCTCCTGTTGACGTACACGTAAACGCTCCCTTTCAACTTGTAATTTATGGAGACGCATTTTTTGTTGAAATTGCAAATTTGTTTGATTATTTGTAGTTCCAGATGTGGTTGTTATAGTTGGAGAAATGCCACCACCTGCAATATTACTCTGCACTGTAAGCTGAGATGTAATGGAGGGAGTTGAACTGGGCTGAACCTAAGTGTTAGAAAAATAGCAAAATATCATTTATAATATGAAAATTAAATAGATTTATTCTAAAAATGATCATTAGATATTACTGATCAAAATATTATTTAATATTAAAATAATTGAGAGATTTTACACAAACAGTGAATAAATGTTTTGCAATTTTTTTTGTAAAATATAAGTTTATATTAAAAAAATTGCTTCTTCAATAGAATAAATTCAATTATTTAATATATTCTAATGTAAATGTCAATTTTTTAAATAAAAAATTCTGATATGAAATGACTGTACAATTTATGTTGGCACTACTGATTTCAAAAATTTAGCATCTTTCTATCACTCATTTCAGTTCAAAAATATGAATTTTCTACATTATAGAATTTTCTACAGAATTAAAATCAGAACTTCTGATTGGTATTATTTTTGTATTCTTCTCCTAAAGCTATTTGGTTGATAATTCTGATTTAAAGTATGTAGCATTGTTCTGGTTGAAAATACTTTTTAGGATTTATAATAAAATTTAAGAAACAAAATTATTCTAAAATATTTGAAAGAATGTACAGAAACAAAAATTAAGCTATACATACAAGATGATTATAAAGTACCATTTTTGTGAAAATGCTAACAAAATCATTTATTTGCAAAATGCTGATCCAAGAAGAGAGAATCACTGTGGTTTGTACATGTACAGTACATATTTGAGTGAATTAATACACACAAAAATATCATCAAATCTTCCTAAATTCGATGGTATTTTTGTGTATTAATCCATTCAAATATTTTCCAGTTAAAGAGATCATGACACATTGCTTGATGGGTAATACAATGTGCATTCAAGTTATAACACCTCTGATTTTTTTTTCTCAGGACTGGAAACAGATGGAAACATGTGGTTTGTTTTAAAATAAGCATGCACTCATGAATGCATGATAGAGCTGGTTGCACTGTATGGCACACAGAACTCTAGCGGCAACAACAAGAGTGAGGACTGTTTTTGATACTTAAAATGGTGACGTTTTCATTACAAGAACAGCATGTAATCATTTGTTTTCTCCATTTGAGTGGTGTGACACTGATTGAAATTCATTGCCAGTTGAGTGAGACATGTGGTGATAGTATCATGGATGTATCTAATGTGCATTCATGGGTGCGACAGTTCAAAGAAGGCAGAATGCCATGTGACAACAAACCAAGACAATCTCAGCCTTGCACCAACTGGTCTGACGACATGATTGAGTGAGTAGAAAAAGTTGTTTTGGAGGAGGATCACTGAATGATGAACACATTGCCTCCAAAGTTGGCATTTTCGTGGGATCTGTGCACACAATCCTGCATGAAGACCTGAAAAGACCAGCACATCGGGCAAATGCAATGCTGCAGTTTCTTCATGACAACAACTTTGAAGTGATTTCTCATGCTCTCTACTCACCTGACTTGGCCCTTAGTGACTTTTGGCTGTTTCCAACGATGAACGACGCTCTCCATGGTCACACATTTACTAGTCGTGCCGCTATTGCATAAGCAATTTTTCAGTGGTCAAACCAGACTCCTAAAGAAGTGTTCGCAGTAGCCACGGAATCATGGCATCGACATTGTGAAAAATGTGTACAGATGCAGGGAATAAGTGGAAAACAAAAGGATGTGTCTACTTCCGTTAAAGGAAGTGGCTCTTTTATCAGTTTTCCCACGTTAGAAAAACGATATTTTCACACCAAAATGAAAGAATATTTTACTTCATTATTTTAACTATATATTTAAATTGTTAATTGGACCCAGCGACTATTCGGATCTCACAATCTCTAAATAATGGACACTGTCATCCATGACCTTTCTTACAAAAACAATTGCCTTTAATATTCTGAAATAATTAATTACATAAAAAATATTTTAAAACTGAAACAAAGAACCAGTTCAAATACTCTCAGACAACAAATTTTGATTGTAGGCATTGAATAAAGACTGGCTTAAAATAAGAATAAGGGAGGATGACAGGTTGTAAAAAACTGAACAATATTCATTATCTGTTAGAGAAGACCAATCTGGTTAAGTTGTCAATCACTATTTATCATCATGCATATTAACATTATTAAACTTCTGTCTTATTGTTGGAATTAAGCTTATGGTAAAATTAACACCAGAAACTTTATATATATAATAAGAAAATTTACTAAGTGCCTTACAATTCAATAATTGATATGGAATCAGCTCAGTGGCATTGGTTTTTAAATTGTCTGAAACCAAGATTTTTGAAGTAAGATTGAATCAGCAGCTCATTTTTCTGCTACAATGTAAACAGAATATCATCATCTTGAAGGGCATTAAAATTAAGCTATCAGCCTTCTCCAAGTGTACATGATATATATGATTTAAGAAACTACTAGAAGAATTTTGCAAAATTGTAGAAATGTATTTACTGTAAATTACTTTAAAGAAATCCAATAAACAATTTATCTATACAAATTTGTTAGAAAATAATTTTCATGTTTTCATCAAAAAACTATGTTTAAACTGGTATGAGAGAAAATTTTTTAAATGATAAATATGTGTGATGTTAATTATAGAATTTTTAAATAAATAAATTAATGGTTCTTGAGATAATATATTTGAATTCATAAATCTGTAGTCTTTTTTTACTGTTTCATAAAGAGATTGGTGCAAGTCTTCATTTTGTTTTAAAATTCATGTTTTAAAAAATATTACCAACATATTTTGCTTTTCAAAACAAAATTTTGTGATGTTCAGGTCTGAAATTAAGGCCTGATGAAGTTTGATATTAAAGAATGAAAATGTTAATATGTTTTCAAATTATAACAACAAAAAAAATTTTAGATCAAATCATATAATTCAAAGTTTTATTTTATTATTTGCAAATTAACAAGTTATAGGCCTAATATATTTTATAAGATTTTTAACCTGTTAGATATAATCAGCTCCCCTTTTTAGGGTTATAGACTATTGCTATATAATCAGAAAAGCTCAGAAGGAATCATAGATACAAAAGTAATTCTTTAAGAGATGTATTCCTTCAAAATTTGCTCTTGTATTCTCAATTAAAATGAGATAAATGGGTTTAAAAAAAAAAGCAAAAATTTATACATTGGTCAGGATAAAGTAAATTTATTAGTTACTCAGCAAGAAATAAGTTCAAATTCTTTGAGTAATTATATCAATATTTTTCCTAAATGTAAACTGAAAATAAATATGAAGCGTTATTGACAATAAATGGTTGCTACTAAGGTTGCTACAAAATCATGCTCATTCCACATGCACACACACCCATATACCATATTTACTCGCATATAAGATGAGGTTTTTATTCATTTTTCACTGCTTCAAAAATTAGGTCATCCTATACGCACGAGCGAAGTATTCTTGGTGTTTTTGCAATAATTTTTGTAAATTGGGTATAGTTCATGCTGCCTGTAAAGCAGGGTGCTATTGAAGTCAAGGTTAATGTCACTTTCAATGAGATGGTCCGAAAATAGCTGGTCACTTAGCAATGATTACAAATATAGTTATTTGATATTTTTTAAATTTGTATTTTTCATGAATATTTGTACATTCTGAATCATTAAAAATAAGCTTTTTCCTGTCATATGCATTATAATCTTTTGGTTTTGCTAAGTGGGCATCAGGTAGTGGAAAAGTATTCCTTGAGTTGATAGCAAAGTCATTCAGGAAATACTGCATTTCAAATTCAATCAATGGCTTAGAGGATGATGCTTTGTGGTATGAAAGTGAAAAAGAGCAGAGTTGTTACAAAGCTTCATAGGGCAAATCCGAGAAGACAAAAGGTGATAGCGTCAAGAAAACCTGGTTGTTTGTCTTAATACATACATTTGATAATATTTTATTTGTGATTAAACAAAATAAAATTAGAATTGTATTAATAAATGTAATTTTCTTTATTTTGATCTTTAAAATCACACCTCATCCTATATGCAAAATCATCTTAAATGCAAGTAAATACAGTATACAGAGAAATTCCCTAATTTTTTTGCATTTTTTTGACATTTCAAAGTCCCGAATCCAAATTGTAAAAATCTTGGGGGGTTTACTGATTGCCATACTTTCCATCTGTTATATGTAACAGAGATGAAAGTAAAAATTAGAGAATGAAAAGGGATAGAAAAGTTGGAAAATAAACAATGAAGGGAAAGACATTAATTGTAGCAATATTTACTAGTAATAGACATTATAAATAATCTTAACAAATACAATATTTGCTATTTTTAATTTAAATTTTATTTTTTCAGTTGTCAATAATGCAAATGTATTTATAATAAAATGATATTCAATGCTTTGTTCTATTAAATTCAAATATTTATGTATTATATACAAACTTTATTATTAGTATTTAACAATAAAATACTATGTAATTTTTATTAATGTATTTTATATATAAGTTAATATTTTTTAATAAATGAATTTAGTATTTTAAACTTAAACTACTGTAATTTGTTAAAATTAATAATAAAATTTATTTTAAGTGAAATGTAAACTAACAAATGCAATGTTGCACTATATACATCAGTATTATATTGTGTATTTATAAAATTTTAAATATAGTGTCTGTGTGTCTGTATATATATATATATATATATAATTATAATTATTTTATTTTTGATTTTAAAATAGATATATGCAGGGCTAAAGATGAATTAAAACAAGCACAGCAAGAATGGGATTTTGTTGAAGATTTGCCATGTAAGTTTTTTATAATTGAAATATTTATTACTAGAAAATATAACTTTCTAAACTATTAAATGCAATTTAGTATTACTTTAAAATTATATGTATGATATAGGAAGCTGTTTAAATTATGCAATGCTTTTAAATGGTCTGTAGTAATCTGAAATTGTTTTTAGTTAAATTGGAAATATTGTCAGCTATTTATGAATATGTTTATAACAACACTAAACATAATGAAATTTTCTTTAATGTTTCTAAACTCTTCATTAATGACTTGGAAAGCTATGATTTTCTATTATCTCAATATTGAATGAAATTTGAAATAATAAATTTGAAAAATAAATACAGCAATATTTATATTTACTTATTTACTTGAATAACCCAGGCACTTAAATAATCCACACACCTACTTTTTAAGATACTTGTTAAAAAAACTTGATCAATTTAATTCATTACATGTTAAAGAAATTTTACTAATTTATGGTAGTAACACAATAACTTAGCAGTCTTACTGTTTTGTAGCATTTAATATGATACACTTAATTTACAAGTTTGTGTTATATACAGATGTAAATACCAAGAAATGTTAATAAATTACAGTATTTGTATATACATTAAAGATATTTTATATACAAATTATAGTAGAATTAATCTACTAATTAAATGAAAGTAAGACTTCTTTACATTCTGGATAATTTACTATTAAGAATAATAGTTATAATTAAATAAATCTTCAATTTATTTGAAATTGTTTTAAGATGTTCTTGTAATGTCAAGGTAAATAAAACCAGAATTTTCACCAACTGTAATCTTAATTACTTACTCCACTTAATTAATGATGACAATCAGTTATTCTTATCCCAAAGTGATTACAATAAGTGGATTCAACTATAAATATATAATTAATATATTTGTATATTTAAATATTTATACATTTTTTGCTTTTTATTTATAAGCTGAAGAACAAAATGTATCTTCAAAATTTGTGACATACGAAGAAATATGGGAATATTTTAAGAAGGAAGATATGAAAGCATATTTAGTAAGTTGATGGAAATGTTATTTGCAATTTATTCTTTTAAAAATATTTTAAATAAAATTAAAAGGAATAAAATTATGATCATTATTAATTTTAATAATACAAATATTTCAGAATTTATCAAAATGAATACTGGAATAATAATGATAAATGCTGAAATTTTTAAAATTTTATTTAGAAATGTATTTTATTTTGAATATGCTTAAATAAAATCATATGCAGTTCAACCTAATGCTTTTTTTTGTAGAATATATATCTAAACACATTGAATATTTTAAATATTTTAGTACTCATTTGTGACAAAAATTAGTTTTTCTATACAAATTTTTATTATTTTAGCAAGTATTACTTTTATATATACAATAATAATTTTTCTTTATAATGTTAATTTTGAGATGTTTTAAACATGTTTAAATTATTTTATTATTAATTTAGAAGTATATCATTACTTTTAACAAACATAAATGATAGATAATTAATGAAATAATTTCAGTGAGTTAAGGAGAAATTTAAATATTAATATCTTTATCCATTATACATAAGCAAATTTTAATTTTGTTTGAAAATTGAATTTTCACACAATGGTATTTAATGTCATTGTATGGTAATTCTGTTATTTATAGGCAGCAGCAAAGCCAGAAATTTAGCAAGGTGAATGCACCTAAAAATTAAGAATATTGAATATTTATATATAAACATCCAAAGCTAGATGTATTAATACTAATCCAAACAATTGTCATTAATATTGAATGATGTTTGAATAAAACTGCAATGCAAATAATATACAAATTATGTGTTATTTATGTTATTGTATATATTGGTTTATAGCAATTGAATTTGTTTGTAGTATTCATGATGCTTTTTTCTCAATTTTAGAAGTTATGTTTCTATGAAAGCTACAAACCATGAACATGCATTCTGATGGAAAATTTGCAATCCTTATTAAAATTTTATCTTTGTCAGATCGTTATTTTTTTTATGTTGAATTCTTTTTGTCATTTTTTTAAACCACAAAATGACTTTGGTCCTTATCTTAACAAATTTTGGTATGAGGTGAAAGTTGTTTTGTGGAAGTTTTCTGTTAAGCCATTGGCGTTTGCCATCGAACCTATACTAATGAAAATCAGGAAAAGTGATGTTTTTGTGATTTTTAAGAAAGCCATGAAAACCAATATGGAGAGTAAAGCTATGGATTATGAATACCTATATCATGTAAATAATAATCACATGAAATTATTGAACAAGTTAATTGAAGTCAAAGGTTTGAGTCATTAATTTCATGAATGTGAATGGAAAAAATCATATATTATTATGATACTAAATATTCAAAAACTGCAGGTTGTATAATTTAAATTTATATTTACGTGGCAATTGGTTTTAGTTTACTTTTATCCTTACATTTAAACAAATTTTAATTGTTAAAAATATGGATATTAGTATTTGTTAGAACAATGATGAAGCAGTCCTTTAACATAGAATTAAACTTTATTCTAATCTAAGATTATACACGCACTTGTTCACACATCCATAACTTGGCAGGAAACTAAACAACAGATCTCTTCTTGTTTCAAGCAATCTTACACTGGTATTGCCAGTTCATACACAGTTTGCAATATTGACACTTGCTTTAGTTTAGTATTCCCCAATAGTATTGGGTGTAATTGCTTCCTTGTATACCTTGGCTGCATCTCTGCATGTACTGTACTGTTGATATGTCTTTTAGTTAACACACATTATTGATCCTAGAAGAATGTCTTGTAAACATTTGAATTTAAAATATGTATCTGATTGTATATTTTTTCATTCTTTAATAAAGTGATTCCTTGAATATTTATTAGTAATTTTAATCTTGTGATGTTACCTATATCATTTTCTATGAAAAAAGTATTCAATTGATGAATTTAAAGTATATTGTAAAATACTAACAATTAGTTGAATAATTAAAGATAATCAATAAATACATTTTAAAATGGCATTGAAAAATTTTTATACATTTATATATTATAAATTATTAATTTATTCTTTTTTAAGAACTTTTCTATTTATAGAAGAAGTATTGAATTTTAAATATTCTAAAATTAACTAAATATGACTATCATTATTTCTGTAAATATTTTATAGAAAAACATCAAACCAGTTTGTAATAGAAAAGGATTCTCTTTTATTTTACATTATTTATGTGGCCCAGTTAAAATGCATCAAGACTTGAGGGCAGAAAGAAATCTTATTTTTGCTATTGCACAATGTAAGAAATTTTATATTATTATATAAAATAATTAAGTAATACTTGAAATAACTTTAAAAACTTTTAAATAAATTATTAAATCTCACTAATTTGGATAAGATTATAATAATGATTGTTCCAGAAGTACTTTGTAAATTTAGAAATCTAAACAATGCATTTTACAATAACAGGAATTGAAAAATATTATTTAGTTTTCTAAATTTACAAAGTATTTTTGGATCAACCAGTATAAATATATTAATGAAGTTTAAATTTATTTAATTTGTGTAGAACAAAATAGGCTTAATCTACAGAGTTAAAATTATTCAAGAATCCAATATAACATTTGAGATATCAATGTTAGGATAAATTTGAATTTTAAAATTAAAATCTTAAAAGCAAACTTTCAATCATATTTTTAAAATTTATATACTGTAACTTTTATAAACTTTGACTTTCTGCTGGAATAATTATAATTTATTCCAATAATTAAACACTTAGACCTGATTATGTATTTTATAGGATATTTTTATATATCATGTAAATATAATCAACAGTTATAAATATCAGAGAATGGCAGATCTACAGTATTTAATAATTAAAAGTTTTTCAATGATTGAAATTTTATTTAAGTTATTTGTTTTTATTATTTTATTTGATTTTTTTCTCCTAGTTAAGCTTTTAAAACCTTCATCAATTTCAAAAAGTAGTCTGCTTATCCCTTCTTTTCTCATTCAAAAGTTGATGCAGCTTATCGCAATCAACTACTATTTTTCATTTAACTATATTTATTATCTTTCGTATACATGACTCCTGCAGCCTCTGCAATAATCATTTGCAATCTTCCAAGAGTGTTATTCCTTCAATACATTTAGGAAATATTATGTTCTTTCAGTATTCCTGCTAAAACTCCTGTTTAGCTGTTAGTTTAAGTATTTGAACTTTTAACCATCAATGTTCTAATGCATTGCCAACATTATCTGTTAGTCAACTTCATAAAACTCTTGTGGATTGTCAAATAAATGATTCCATTCTGCACACAGGAGTTTCAAAAAATGTTGGCAAGTTAGTTTTGTTTTTAAAATTTTACTATTATAAAGTTTGTATATGATTGGAAGCAGTTTCATATTTGATGAAATTTATTTGTAAATTTCATCAANGCTAAAACTCCTGTTTAGCTGTTAGTTTAAGTATTTGAACTTTTAACCATCAATGTTCTAATGCATTGCCAACATTATCTGTTAGTCAACTTCATTAAACTCTTGTGGATTGTCAAATAAATGATTCCATTCTGCACACAGGAGTTTCAAAAAATGTTGGCAAGTTAGTTTTGTTCATTATACATAAGCAAATTTTAATTTTGTTTGAAAATTAAATTTTCACACAATGGTATTTAATGTCATTGTATGGTAATTCTGTTATTTATAGGCAGCAGCAAAGCCAGAAATTTAGCAAGGTGAATGCACCTAAAAATTAAGAATATTGAATATTTATATATAAACATCCAAAGCTAGATGTATTAATACTAATCCAAACAATTGTCATTAATATTGAATGATGTTTGAATAAAACTGCAATGCAAATAATATACAAATTATGTGTTATTTATGTTATTGTATATATTGGTTTATAGCAATTGAATTTGTTTGTAGTATTCATGATGCTTTTTTCTCAATTTTAGAAGTTATGTTTCTATGAAAGCTACAAACCATGAACATGCATTCTGATGGAAAATTTGCAATCCTTATTAAAATTTTATCTTTGTCAGATCGTTATTTTTTTTATGTTGAATTCTTTTTGTCATTTTTTTAAACCACAAAATGACTTTGGTCCTTATCTTAACAAATTTTGATATGAGGTGAAAGTTGTTTTGTGGAAGTTTTCTGTTAAGCCATTGGCGTTTGCCATCGAACCTATACTAATGAAAATCAGGAAAAGTGATGTTTTTGTGATTTTTAAGAAAGCCATGAAAACCAATATGGAGAGTAAAGCTATGGATTATGAATACCTATATCATGTAAATAATAATCACATGAAATTATTGAACAAGTTAATTGAAGTCAAAGGTTTGAGTCATTAATTTCATGAATGTGAATGGAAAAAATCATATATTATTATGATACTAAATATTCAAAAACTGCAGGTTGTATAATTTAAATTTATATTTATGTGGCAATTGGTTTTAGTTTACTTTTATCCTTACATTTAAACAAATTTTAATTGTTAAAAATATGGATATTAGTATTTGTTAGAACAATGATGAAGCAGTCCTTTAACATAGAATTAAACTTTATTCTAATCTAAGATTATACACGCACTTGTTCACACATCCATAACTTGGCAGGAAACTAAACAACAGATCTCTTCTTGTTTCAAGCAATCTTACACTGGTATTGCCAGTTCATACACAGTTTGCAATATTGACACTTGCTTTAGTTTAGTATTCCCCAATAGTATTGGGTGTAATTGCTTCCTTGTATACCTTGGCTGCATCTCTGCATGTACTGTACTGTTGATATGTCTTTTAGTTAACACACATTATTGATCCTAGAAGAATGTCTTGTAAACATTTGAATTTAAAATATGTATCTGATTGTATATTTTTTCATTCTTTAATAAAGTGATTCCTTGAATATTTATTAGTAATTTTAATCTTGTGATGTTACCTATATCATTTTCTATGAAAAAAGTATTCAATTGATGAATTTAAAGTATATTGTAAAATACTAACAATTAGTTGAATAATTAAAGATAATCAATAAATACATTTTAAAATGGCATTGAAAAATTTTTATACATTTATATATTATAAATTATTAATTTATTCTTTTTTAAGAACTTTTCTATTTATAGAAGAAGTATTGAATTTTAAATATTCTAAAATTAACTAAATATGACTATCATTATTTCTGTAAATATTTTATAGAAAAACATCAAACCAGTTTGTAATAGAAAAGGATTCTCTTTTATTTTACATTATTTATGTGGCCCAGTTAAAATGCATCAAGACTTGAGGGCAGAAAGAAATCTTATTTTTGCTATTGCACAATGTAAGAAATTTTATATTATTATATAAAATAATTAAGTAATACTTGAAATAACTTTAAAAACTTTTAAATAAATTATTAAATCTCACTAATTTGGATAAGATTATAATAATGATTGTTCCAGAAGTACTTTGTAAATTTAGAAATCTAAACAATGCATTTTACAATAACAGGAATTGAAAAATATTATTTAGTTTTCTAAATTTACAAAGTATTTTTGGATCAACCAGTATAAATATATTAATGAAGTTTAAATTTATTTAATTTATGTAGAACAAAATAGGCTTAATCTACAGAGTTAAAATTATTCAAGAATCCAATATAACATTTGAGATATCAATGTTAGGATAAATTTGAATTTTAAAATTAAAATCTTAAAAGCAAACTTTCAATCATATTTTTAAAATTTATATGCTGTAACTTTTATAAACTTTGACTTTCTGCTGGAATAATTATAATTTATTCCAATAATTAAACACTTAGACCTGATTATGTATTTTATAGGATATTTTTATATATCATGTAAATATAATCAACAGTTATAAATATCAGAGAATGGCAGATCTACAGTATTTAATAATTAAAAGTTTTTCAATGATTGAAATTTTATTTAAGTTATTTGTTTTTATTATTTTATTTGATTTTTTTCTCCTAGTTAAGCTTTTAAAACCTTCATCAATTTCAAAAAGTAGTCTGCTTATCCCTTCTTTTCTCATTCAAAAGTTGATGCAGCTTATTGCAATCAACTACTATTTTTCATTTAACTATATTTATTATCTTTCGTATACATGACTCCTGCAGCCTCTGCAATAATCATTTGCAATCTTCCAAGAGTGTTATTCCTTCAATACATTTAGGAAATATTATGTTCTTTCAGTATTCCTGCTAAAACTCCTGTTTAGCTGTTAGTTTAAGTATTTGAACTTTTAACCATCAATGTTCTAATGCATTGCCAACATTATCTGTTAGTCAACTTCATAAAACTCTTGTGGATTGTCAAATAAATGATTCCATTCTGCACACAGGAGTTTCAAAAAATGTTGGCAAGTTAGTTTTGTTTTTAAAATTTTACTATTATAAAGTTTGTATATGATTGGAAGCAGTTTCATATTTGATGAAATTTATTTGTAAATTTCATCAAATTATTAATAAATTTATTCACTGATTTTATAGTCAAAAATGTATTAATTATAAGAAATCATTCAATATTTAATTTTATTACTATTTATCTTAAACTTCCTGAAACTTGGTGCCCTGTATAAATAAATGCAATAAAGAGCTTTTTTAAGGCAACCAAATTCAGAAATATTTTCATGCTTTATGTATGGCTTGGCTTCAGCTCCACAACTTTAGAAACGAATATGAGATTAGTGAGATGTTCTTGAAGGAATTTAAAATTTAATGCTTGTATATAATGTAAAATGTTTCAAAAGACATTTTAAAATTTGAAAGATCTTATATTACATTACTGAAGATTTTAAAGATTTTTAAAATTCTTGAAACTATTTTTTAAAAAGAAATTTTTTGAAGATTTAAATAAGCTATTACAAATATGTTATAAGCTTATTAAAAGTTTTTAATTTTCTAATTTGATATCAAAATATCATTAGTCTTTATATTTATAAATATTTGCAGTAATAATTTAGTCAGCCATAAAATATATTTCATTTAAATTCATTTATTTCTTAATTGCTCCAAAATTAATCATAACAATTTTTTTTTGTTTATGACTTAGATTAAAATTTTATTTTATAAACAAGTTAATTTGTCAAGTATGTTTAAGGATAGTTTAAAATTTTTCTTTATATTATTTGCTTAGTTTCTCAAAAATGCATTACATTTATTACTCATTATAGGTCCTTTAGATTGTAAATTATCATTTCATGCTAACACTTTACAAACAATATATAACAAGTTAACAGGAGTACCTGGATATTGCCGGATATATGGAAATCATTGGGAAGAAGTTGGATTTCAAGGTATGTGATTTTATTCATGAATGTGTAGCATGCAACAAAGGTATTGAGTTATAAAACCCAGAAATATTCAATAAAATCATTAACAAGTTTAACAAGCCATACTGTACATTTCTTAGCAATATTGTACAGAATAGAATCTTTCATTTCAATATTGTTAGCCAGCATGGTTGCAAGGTATGTCTATTTTTGTGAAGAACCTGATTTGAATTCAATTTGGTTCTTTATAATTTATTAGATAGTTTAAATCAGAGTAATGTTTCTTTTCTTTTTAAACTTGCTAATCCTATTATAGATGTGACTCCTTGGGAATGAGTACTGGGCCATGTTATATATTGCATTTTGTACTAGATATTAAATAACATTTTAATTTTGGAAATTCTGTTACATCTAAAATACAAAATAATGACAACTGCTGGTCCAATTAATTTCTGCCAACAGAGTACTTTTGTTCACCTCACACACAACAAAAAATATATCCCATGCTCCTTTACTTACCATATATACGAGGCGTGTTCAAATGAAAGTGATTTGAAGCGCTGCATGCAAACAGTTTTCAATGTATTTTCATGAAACAAATGCAATAGTGAAGGTTTATGTACCACACATGTGCGTGCACAACCAGATTTGTGATAACTTCATTCATAAGGACATGGCATTCATTTCAAAATGGCTGATGTTGATGAACTGCATCCAAAATGGATCAATGAGCTGTAATTAAGTTTTTAACACTGGAAGGGTGTAAGCCAGTGGATATTCATCGGAAAATGCTGGCTGTGTACAGTGACACGTGTGTGTCGAAGCCCACGGTAATGAGGTGGGCGAGAATGTTTAGTGACAGTCGACACGAGACAAGGGATTTGCCGCGGCCCGGTCAGGTGCACAAAGTTGTGACAGAGAAGCTGATTATGGACATTGACACTGTAATCAAGGGAAATTGATGTCGAAACATTCGTGACATCGCAAATGAGTTAAACATTTCCATTGGTACTGTTCACAATATTGTTACCAACATTCTGAAGTATTGAAAAGTTTGTTGCCAATGGGTACCCCGCATGCTGTCTGAACATCACAAGAAAAAGTGAATGGACCTGAGTTTACAGCATTTGTTGTACTACAGGGATGATGGTGACAACTTTCTGCAGCACATAGTGGTAGGGGATGAAACCTGGTGTCATCACTTCCAACCAGAAGGGACGTCCGTCAGCTGCAATGGAAACATCCCAACTCACCTAGGCCCAAAAAATTCAAAACTCAGCAGTCAGCCGGAAAGGTGATGTTGACAGCATTTTTTGACATGCAGGGACCCCTATTACTGGAGTTTAAGGAGTCGAACGTCTCCATCAATGCCCAACAATACACCCAAATACTTGATAAGCTGCATAAGGCTGACAACAGCATTATGCAGCTTAGCATGGACAGCATACAAGGACGTTTGTTTTTGACTATCAAAAACAAACGTCCTCGTATGCTTTCATCAGGTGCCATCATTCTGAACGACAATGCAAGGCCACAAGTCACCAAGGTGTGTGTCGAGGCACTGGCCCGTAAAAAGTGGGAAGTCCTGGAACATCCAGCTTATAGTCCAGATCTGTCGCCTTGCGACTATCACATCTTTGGACCGCTGAAGAAAAGTCTAATGGATCAACAATTTCACTCTGACGATGACATAAAGGATGCAGTTCTGAACTGGTTCCATGATCAACCGACATCATTCTTCGCGGATGGAATGCGTAACCTTCCTAAGCAATGGGACGCCTGCCTAAACGCCATGGGTGATTTCTTTTAACAAACTTTGTATGCATTTCACTCATTAAATATTATTTTTTCTATCTATGTATCTGTCTCATTTCTGTCCCTACACATCTCATGGATACACACCTCGAATCACTTTCATTTGAACACCCCTTATATATATAATATAATATATATATATATATATTATATCACCTGTAGCACCCCTTGTGTTATATCCAAATACACAAATTAGAAAAATGAAAATATAGACAAATATTATAACAACACATGAATATTTAATATTTACAGTGATAGAACATTAATAATAAACATGAATAATAATATTTTTAGTACAAAAAACATCACATTTAATCATTCACAAAATAAATACAGCATGGTGGGTACCACCACAAATTTCTTGCTAACTGAAATTTTATTTTAATTCTGATTTAGCTACCATAGCTCAATGCATTGTGTTTCTGTAAGTTGAAGTAAATTTGTGATTACATTTTGTACAGTGAAATTTGTAACCTGACATCTGATTTGCTGGGAAACTTGATAAACTAGCATATTGAGCTTGACACTGGTGGTTATTGGTGCACTGGGTATGTCTGGAGTTAAGATTTTCATATAAAAGCACTTAAAATGTGCAGTTGTTGGAAAAGGACATATGCTAAGATGACATAATCCTGTGCTAGGTAAAACAAGTTAGCTTGTGCATGATTTTTTAAAAGACTTTTCCAAAGACATTAGTGCAAGGGTTTGATATGAGAATCAGAAATATTTAGCACACTTGGAATCAATAATTATCATGGAAACAGCTACAGTACATTACTGTTCATGTACTTTGTACTTTGATAATTAAGAGTTCACTGCATTTATACACAATAAAAGTGTACAAAGTACAAAGTAAGAATATAGTATTTTTGTTTCAAGCCAACCAATGGTAGGAATAGCCTGGAAAAATTGAAATTAACTTCAAGTATTTTAGAGAAAATTGTTTCCAAAGCTGTGGTCTAGTAGTAGTTTGAATTTACTTTAAAAAGTTATAATGCTCATATAGAATATCATATAGAAATAAACTGTGTATTCAATTTTTGAGAAAAGATGTATGAATTAGCATTTTTTAATGAATTTCTATGGAGTAGTAGAACAACAACAACATAATTTTCATTTTTTACGGATATTTGACCATTTTCAAAATCGAATAAGTGATTATTTGAAAGTGAAAGAATATTTGCTTTTTAAAAAACTATATTGTTTTATTATTAAATCTACTGAATATATATATGTTAGGCTCAAAGAATGAAAATGCTCATTGAGCAAAAAAAAAGTCCACAATGTGTTGTGGCACTTGTAAAAACAGCTACAATGTGTTGTGATCTTGCATTCAAAAACTTAATTACTGATCATATTTCACAACTGACAGGCTGCTTGATTGTTTTGAACATTATAACTGACACTTAGTGAACAAGAAAAATATGGCTCAGTCAAAAGACCACAAAATGAAATTTGCATTGTAATTTTCATGATATTTGACCACTATGTGTTGCAATGATTAAGAAAAGCCATAATACGTTCTGAATGTTAGCTGATTCAACCACAACAGAGGGTGATACAATTCACAGTGGTTGGTAACTTTAAAATGTGTGTTCTAGCCTTGAAACATTTTTATTTACAATTTTAATGCTGAACAACATTAGTTCTACAAGTTTTCCTAGAAATTTAATTATCATACTTTAAAAATTTCAAAGAAACAAAATGTATGGAGAAAAATACACATTTGGTTTTTTTATTTTGCTTAAAAGTTAAAGTAAAACCAAATAAAAATGTAGTTTGACCTTAAAAGTAAAGGTCAAACTACATTTTTATTTGAGTGTTAATAAAAAATGCAAATTTTGCTCAAAGAACATAAAATGCAACTCTAAATGTCACAGTAATAGTTCTTGTAAAAATAAATAAGTCTGCAACATTCTTGATTCTCATAAAAAAGACTGATTTATTAATAAAAGTTTCTGACAATAATTATTTTTAGTAAATTAATTGTTTGGGAATGTTGTCATCTCAAGCACTGCAACAGATTTTCATGAATGATTAAATGTTGCTGAAAAGTTATCAAATTACATTTCTGTATGTGGTGAATAATTTTGTTACCTACTTATATAAGATAATTGAAGATAAGTAAATCATAATGAAAAAGAAAGTTTTATTTTCTTATCAACACCTTGTTATTAGTTAACATCCAGAACTTGTGGTGGCTTTTAACCATAATAAATCCGTTGTACAGTGGTTTTTAACTTTAGCAGCTAATTTTTATGCCCTCAAGTAGAGTACATCAAGCATCTACTAGTACATGTAGTTTGACCTTTAGCACTTTTAAACAAACCAAAACAAAACAAAATGTATATTTTTCTCCATACATTTTATTTTTTTGAAATTTTTTTTAAGTATGAAAATTAAATTTCTAAGAAAACTTGTAGAACTAATGTTGTTCAGCACTAAAAATTGTAAATAAAAATGTTTTTAAGCTAGAACCCATATTTTAAAGTTACAAACCACTGTGTCATATCACCCTCTATGGTGGTTGCATCAGCTAATGTTCGGAACGCGTTATGGCTTTTCTTAATCACTGCAATGCATAGTGGTCAAATATCATGAAAGCTATGATGTGAATTTCACTTTATGGTCTTTTTGAGTTAGTCACAATGCATTGTGGATGATTTTAAAGAAATCACAACACATTGTGGGGGGCTTTTTTCATTCAATGAGCATTTTTGTTTTTTGAGCCTAACATATACACATTGTACACAAAGGGTGGATTCTTGCACTTTCCCCTGAACTAATTGTAGTGTTTATACAAAATTTTAATATATCATATACAGTTGAGTCCACTGAATGGGGGATGAGATAAGAGAACAGTTCAATTAAAAGAGCAGTCACCTATGTTTCTAATTTTTCTCCCATTTTACAATAGTAAGACTCCTTTAAGAACACCAAATAGCAGACAGTTTAATCGAGCACCATGTTGGAGACATTTTTACAGCAGCAGTTCTTATAAGAAAGATCCTTATAAATCTTCCTTAGAATGTTAATCTTCTGATGCATGGTGACAGGGCTGTCTATATTTGTTGATTAGATAAAATTTTTCATTGGTCAGGTTTCTAATAACGGACAATTAAAAGATTTCTTATGGAATCATAATGAACAGTTTTTATTGAACACATATATAAGAAGCAATTACATATTGAAAATGTATCATAAAATATATATGAATAAACAGTACAGAACATATGTAAATTCTCATCTTGAAGAGAGAAGGTGACTTGCTTACAAGATAACAGAACCTTACTTTAAGGTGGTATTTATTTTTATTTTATAACATCCCATTAGAGAGAATTGAGTTTTGTATGTTTTCAGCTAGGCCTCCTGTATTTCTGGGAAGAAGTGAAAGTAATGCAACTGGTAAATATTTACATATAATTTAATAGAACAATAAAATCAAAAACTTTAACCATTGACAAGTAAGATTCTGGCCTCTGTATATTTTACCACCCAAGGAAAATTAACTGAACATATTAAACTCAATTTCAAAGCTGCATATTGCAATTAAAGAAAAATGGAGAAATGCTCTTTCACTAGGATAATACCTCAAATCACACATCATGTGTTGCCATAGCTACTATTGCTCAAGCAGGATTCTAGTTGGTTTGAGCATCCATGCTCAAGCAGGATTCTAGTTGGTTTGAGCATCCATCCATCTTATTTACCAGATCTGGCCCTTAGTGATAATAGACTGTTTCTGAAGCTCAAAAGAATATCTCCATGGAAAGAAATTTTCAAATGATGAATGTCATATATATGTTCTTAACCAAGGTTTTCAGAGGTTGAACAACCTTTTTTTTCCAGAAAGCAATTGAAATGTGTTACACTATTGAGAAAAAATGTATTACGATTGAAGGAAATTACATCGAAAAATAAAATTACAGTGGTACCTCAGAAAATTAATTTGTTCCGAAACTGAGATCGTATCATGAAAATGTTGTAAGGTGAATCATTTTTCCCCATGCAATTACATGTAAAACCAAATAATTCATTCCAACACCAAAACACACTCAAATTAAACTAAGTAGTACATTAAAAAAAAAAGTATAGTAAGGAAAACACTGAAAAATGCGTTTTGTAGTTCTAAATATATAAATAACCATAATAGAATAATAATTGATTAAAAAAAATGTAGTTTTATTTGCACCTTACCTTTGAGGATTGACGACGGTGAAGGTGTAAACTGGTGGCGAAAGAGAGGGAGAAGGGAAATGATACTAAAAACTTGCATAACATAATGCAACAATAACTTAAAAATAACTTATAAAACAACACTAATTTTTTTATCTTTTTTTTTTCTTTTTTAATTTTTATTCACTGCTTTTTGCTTTCCTTCCTTCACTTCTACCAGCACTTTCACTGGATAGAGGTCGCTTGGTAAAATATCTATTCAAAGAGGTTTGGCTTTGCTTACTTTTTAAAATGTTTCTAAAATGACTTAGGCAAATGTCATTACTCTGAGCAGCAATACAGCCAGTGTGAACCTTTTTGGGATGTTTTTTTTCAATAAAATCAGTCACTTTCTGATACCTCAAGATTTCCTTTATCGAGCAAGATCCTTCCACGACGAAGCAAACACGCGGACTGAGACTGATGAACAGAAGTGAATAAAAAATGGCGCTGCAAACTAATGTAACGTCGTATGGTGAGTTTTTGTTCGTATCGTGGAGCAAAAATATGTTCAAATTTCATGTCGTATCCTGAAAATTTCGTATGCTGAGGCGTTCGTATCCTGAGGTACCACTGTATTTTGTTGCTGTGAATATTCTTTCTACTTCAAGCAGAGCACAAGGATCCACTCCTATATAATTTATTGATAGAGTATCATAAAAATTTTAATTTTTCAAATTTGATCTGAAAATACAATTTTATTTTTGTATATAAGTGTTTTATGCTAATAAACTGGATTTTCAAGATAATTTGTTTGTTTTTAAAAGCATAATAAATAAAAGAGAGTTAATTTATAAAATTTTTAAATTTATTATTGAAGTTCATTCATCAAAATTATTTTATTTCAATTTATTTAATTAATTTTTTAATTTTGTGTATCATAAAATTAGGTAATGATCCATCAACAGATACTAGAGGTGTTGGATTTTTTGGCATTCTTCAGTTGTTATATTTTATTTTAAATCCTTCTACTTCAAAGTTAGCTATGGATATTTACAGATTATCACAAGATGAAGTTCAGGTATGATTAAAATTCATGATTATGAATAGTGTATGTATTATCATTATTTGTAATCATGAATATATATATACACATGCATAATATAATAAAACCTGAAAGTAGAATATGAAAGTACATCCAGAATTTTCTGTATTTTTGCAAGTATAAAATGTATAAAAACAACAATCCACGAAAACCTTTTTTTTTTTACAAGTGTTATGTCCGTAGTACACTCCACAAATGCTTTCGACCTCCACCGAGGTCTCCACCATCTCCACCACTGCTTGACACAAAAACGGATACGAGAACATCAAGCAGATATTAAAAATAACAGGCACACCACCACCTTATCGACCTATGTTACCGACCCTGATATAAGGGCGGACTTCCAGAACACCAGACTAATCAGACAAGCATTCCGAACTGATCACATCAGACACCTGGAGGCCTGGGAGATTCATAAAGCTAATAGTAGGGGCACCTGCATCAACTTCAAAGATGGTGAAACGATCATGAAGGCATGGAGGTATTTGTTCGAGGAATTTGAACAGGAACAGTCAGAGGGGTGAAACCCAACACACACAATTATTTACATCTCTGGTGACATCGTTACGATGGTCAGGAGAAAACACAGTCAGTCACCACCTGAAGCACACCTCGGTGGAGGTCGAAAGCGTAGTTGGAGTGTACTACGGACATAACACTTGTAAAAAAAGGTTTTTGTGGATTGTTGTTACAGTAGAACCTCGAAAACTCGGCCTAATGTGGACCGAAGGGTGGCCGAGTTTGTGAAAATGCCGGGTTATCGGGAATGGGGTTAAAAAAATAAGTACGAGTGTTTCCTCAGAAAATACTGTACTGTACTTGTATGTATTGTTTACTTGAGAATATAACAGAGAATAAACTGCCCAAATACCCTTAAACAAAGGAAAAGTACGTCCTTTATGAAGGCATAGAGCCTTTACTACATGAAAATGAAAATTAAT